GATACCTTCAGAGCCCAGGATCCTTCATCTTCCTTCTGTGAAAGGCGAACTTTTGAAATGACTAATAAAACAGATCCATATCTAACGGGAATGACATGATCCAGTAAATATATACATGATACAGTAAATAACGGAAACAGTAAACTGCGAAATTATACCTATAAATCCAAATTATGTTATAAAGAAGCAAAATAACAGATAATCTGTTATCTCTAGTTGGAGAGATTGCCTTTTTTTGGTACTCTTAGGTATTTTTTACAGTTTTCATTTTCATATACTATAAGAGGAAAAATACTTTGAGAGTTACACATAAAATTTTTTTTTTATCATTTTTTAAGTTTTTTAATCACTTCATAATTTTTTTTGATTTCAGAATATTACAGGCTACAAATGCATTGGTCATATAAATTGCCTTTGCACTGCCAGAGTCAGAGCTATAAGCATGCCCATCACCCAGACAGCACCAACTGTGCCTGTTAGGTGTGAATATATCCATCCCTTCCTCCCGACTCCCACCTGCCTCATCCCTGATGAATGTTACTTCCATATGTGCATATAAGTGTTGATGAATTAGTACCAATTTAATGGTGAGTACATGTGGCATTTGTTTTCTAGTCTTGTGTTACTTCATTTAGAAGAATGGGCTCCAGTTCTATCCAGGATAATACAAGAGCTATTAGTTCACCATTGTTTTGTGTGGCTGAGTAGAACTCCATGGCATACATATATCACATTTTATTAATCCACTTATGCATTGATAGGCACTTGGGTTGTGTCATCTTTGCAATTGTGAATTGTGCTGCTATAAACATTTGAATGCAGATGCCTTTTTTTATATTAATAGAATGTCTGTGTTTCCTTTGGGTAAATTCTGAGTAGTGGGATTGCTGGATCAAATGGTAGCTCTACTTGTAGCTCTTTGAGGTATCTCCATACTCCTTTCCATAAAGGCTGTACTAGTTTGCAATCCCCCCAGCAGTGTATGAGTGTTCCCATCTATCCACAGCCATGCCAATATTTGTTGTTTTGGGACTTTTTGATAAAAGTGATTCTCATTGGAGTCAAGTGATACCTCATTGTGGTTTTGATTTGCGTTTCCCTGATGGTTAGAGATGTTGAGCATTTTTTCATGTTACTTGGCCATTTATCTTCTTTTGAAAAGTTTCTGTTCATGTCCTTTGTCCACTTTTTTATGGGGTTGTTTGATATTTTTCTTGCTGAGTTGCCTGAGTTATTTATAGATTCGAGTTATCAGCCCTTTGTCAGATGTATAGCATGCAAATATTTTTCCCCCATTCTGTTGGTTGTCTATTTGCTCTAGCGATAGTTTCTTTGGCTGTTCAGAAGCTTTTTAATTTGATCAGGTCCCATTTAGTTATTTTTGGTATTGCTATGATTGCTTTTGAGGTGGTCTTCATAAATTTTTTGCCTAGGCTGACATCTATAAGAGTTTTTCCAACATTTTCTTCTAGAATTCTTATGGTTTCATGCCTTAGGTTTAAGTCCATTATCCACCATGAGTTGATTTTTGTGAGAGGTGTGGGTCCTATTTTAGTTTTCTACATGTGCTATCCAATTTTCCCAGCACAATTTATCAAACAAGCATTCTTTTCCCTGGGTATGTTTTTGTCTGCTTTGCCAAAGATCAGACGGCACTATGAAGATGGTTTTACATCTGGATTCTCTGTTCTGTTCCATTGGCCAAAGACAACCAAAGGGGTAAGTTCAGAACAATTGTCATTTTCTCACTGATGGAACTATGATAATTCTGGCCGTGTCACCAAGAACAGAAGATGTATAGAACTAGTCCGTGCTTTGTAGAATCTGCCTTTTCAGCTGAATATTCTACTTAAACTCTGAGAAAACAGTTTAGAGGAGGAGTCACAAGTGATTCAAGAACCTGGTGATAAGTACCATTGGTATAAATTACAGAAGGGGTGAGCCTATGATTCTATTTGTTTCAAAGTTCTATGATATTTAACTTTTTTTTCTGAGAATATTTGGGCTTAAAGGGGCTTTAGGGAGAATGCAAAAATCAAAATGTAGCAGATGATTTCCTTTATGATGGGCAGTCATCTGAGCCTTTTGTATCTCCCACACTGCACTGTAAAAAGAAGCTTAGATTACAAATAAGCACATGGGATCGATCCCCTTGAAACAGGCAGTTAGTTGCTCAGTAGTTATAAGCATCGATCAATGTAGACAGACTTGGATTTCTCATGGCACCTACTAGCTATGTGACCCTGGGTATTACTGAATTGTACAGTGAGAAGTTCACTAGGTTTAATTGACATCACATGAGAAAATATAAAGTTACTTAGCACAGTGCCTAGGCATAAAGGACAATGCCACTCTCAACAATAATTATAGCAATGCATATTAATATTATTGCATATTAATATTATTGCATATAATGCATATTAATATGCATTGTTATAATTATTATTGAGAGTGGCTAGGTCTTTGAAAAGAGGGAAGATGATAGCATGAAATAGATGTGGGAGAAGCTAGGTCAAGAAGGAGCTCATCATTGTGGCACCTCATGTAACAGCCAGAGATGGTCCCATAAGGAGTAGTCTGGGTGCCAAGGAGAAGCAGCACCCACTGTCCTGGGAGTACCGGTCACAGCAAATCTGGATCCAGTCCTGAAGCAGTGGGACAGGTTATATTATAGTGGGACTAGAGAAGACTTCAGGAGCTGCTAATTGGAGCTGGGCCAGGAAGTAAGGGAGCAATTCCAGGGACAAGGACAAAGCCAGGGAGTTAGAGGTATCCAGTTACAGAAGGATTCAGACCATTGGCTGAATAGGTGTTGGACCATTTTTTCTAGCAATCTGCTAACCAAGTTTCTACTACTCAAGTCTGTAAATGATGCCCAAGTGATCCCTTCCAGAGGATGGCAAGGGGTTGCCAAGCAGGAGCCTGCAGGGGACATCAGTTGAGCCCTCTGTGGTCCTGAGCCCATGCCCTCCTTTGCTTCTCTGCCTCCCTGGACTCTCAGCTTGAAGGTCACCACCTTCAGTCCAACTCCTCCCTCCTCTCTTTGATGATTCTGGTATGTGGTTCCAGTTAGTCTCACCATAGAGCTCACAAGACACAGACCAATTCCCTTCCTTGACAGTTTATACAAACCCAACTGCTCCATGATGGGTTATTAAAAAAGAAACCTGGAATTTTCTGGGAATATTTGCCTTTGATATTTCCACTGGTGTTCCCAACATTCCTTTAGGATGATCATACCCCGTTTGTCCTACATGTCATATCCAATTGGGACTCCATGAGACTAATCGTCCCAATTTCTTCCTCTTCTAATTTCTCTTTCTACCAGCAGCTCAACCCCTTATACTATTTGCAGGTATGCTGTCCACTTTGAGATCTTAGGTTAGGTTTTAACTTCTCTTGCCTCCTATAAAATGCAACACTTTGTTCCTTCGGTCATATATTCACTAGCAATTTATCTAGAGGCTGTGTTTAGCAGGGCCTGAAGGACCTGACTTAATAATTCCTACCACTCACGCTGGGGATTGCAATATATGCAGCTGATTAATATTCCTCACTTGCACATACTTCTCAGGTAAGAGCTTTATTTATTCCTTTAACAAATATTCTTCTTTTTGTTTGAAAACATCTATTTATGCATGCCTTAAATCTTTTATACTTGTGGATCCTTGTGAGCATAAATAAAGTTCTTAAAGAGCCTATCTTTTGAATGAATCCTAGTTTAAGTCTGGACTGAAACAGTTACTGCAGAACCAACTGCAAAGAAAAAAATCCTGATTGAACACCGAAGTCTTTCTGTTCTGCAAGGTGAAATCCTTTGACCTAGATTCTGTTCCTTGAAAGGCTCAGCCACTGCCGGCGATTCTAAGAAAATCGGTTAAATATTGACACAAACAGTCAAATTCATGAACTGTGTTTGATTATTCTAAAAATCTACCAGACAGAAAGTTCTCCCTTTTATCTGCCGTCATTGTTACTTTCAGAGCAGCTCTCTCCATAGCAACTGGAAACTTCTCTGGGCTGAAATAATCCTCTCGAAGTCCCAGTGTACAGTCAAGGAATTTTAAAAACAGGGTACTTTGTGAGTGTGCAATGCTCTCTGAGATTTAAAAGCCTGTGGAGCTCCAGATATATTATTTTTCTGTCTTCCGAAGGTAAGCACTGCGTTTAGAAATGTTTGTATCATCCTCGGTCATTTTAAAAAATGCTAACATAAGAATCTTAAACTCTTAAAAAAAACTATAAAAGTAATCCTAGCAACATTATTAGCACACGGTCATTACCAGCTCATCTCTTGTCCAAGATCAAACATGAGATGAGATGCTGTTAGCATTTTGCATTCCTTAAGCAATCGGTGGAAAAGATTATTATTATTTTTTCCGAAAAGTTGATTGGCTCTAAAGTTCCTCCCCACCTTTTGTGACCACTGAGTGGATTTATCATGTTCTTGAGGGCTCGAAACTCTCTTGTTTTTCTAAGCTACTTCATACTCCAGAACCTTGACTCTTAATAAACTAAAAAAATGACCAGTGTTTCCTGAACATTACTATTTTCTGCCAGTACTTGTCTAAAACCTTCTAACTCACCATTATATTGGTAATTTATTAGAATTTATTTTCTCTTTATTTTTGTCTAGGGATGAGGACCACGAATCACTTGGAATTATCTACGATAGGATAAAAAGGTGTTTCCCATCCTGGGTGTTATAACTTGTACCACCTGCAGATAAATGGAGACACTTAATCTTCCTAATTTTTTTGAGGCAATGTTTAGTTCAGGGAGAGGCAAACTAACAGGGTTTCTGGTGTCTCTAGTGCAGTTTGAAAGCCTACAGCCATGGTAGTTTCCTGCCATTGTTTGGGGTTATAAATTACCTAGAGCCCCCCTGTTGTTTAGGAACAGCTTGTCATTGCAAATCAGCTTAGCCACCCAATTAATGAATCCTTTCAAACATGTTGCAGGCACAATAATTGAAGGCTTTATTTTTCCCCTCCAACACAGAAATTCCTTTGGTTGCAACTTTATCCTGTTAACGGCAATACGCACCCATCTCCATCCAAAACAGACCCAAGGTAAAGGAAGCGTGGAAATGTGCTACTGGACAAAACTTTCAGTATCGTGGGTGCCGTTGTTCTTTCTACTCAGCCTTGTTCCCTCTACTGAGACAGACAGACCCTCAGCCCAGGACAGCGGCGGCTCTGGGAGTCCAGGCCAACTGGCAGACGTACTACGGGTTCTCGCTGCCGGAGATCACCCACCCCTCAACCTCTCAAGAAGCCTCATCAGAACATTGTTGGAACAAACTGGGTGCCCACGGAGGAGAAATGGAATGCACGGAGATTGCAGTCTGGTTAGTGCAATAGCACGGGGTCAGGTACCAGGGTATGTTCAAATGAGAGCAATGGATTCTGTAGTCATTGACTTCAGTAAAAGCCAAATCAAATGCAAATCTTCCAGTATCCAAGTGGGCAGTGCATTCTGGCAAAACATCTTCCATATTTGAGTTAACAAATCATTTGGCATTCTGCATATAGCGCTTAAAGATAAAGGAATTTTGTTTGTTTGTTCAAAGGATAATGTTTACATAAGCTAAGCCTTTCTGAAACCCTTCTGCATATTTAAGAGTATTTATTTATGAGTGTGAAATTTTAGTCTCCTTTCTGAATTCCTAATCTTTTATTTTTTCATTTTTTGAGCCTGCAGCGAACTTGCACGTGACTAGATAGATGCTATTTATTATTGTTTTTTTTTTTTGTAGCACTGTAATAGCAATCTGATATTTCCCTAACATTGAACTTTTGAGTACTTTCTCTTGGATGTCAATTGGCATTTTGTAATATTTTGCATAGTCATTTTGGGGTAGTTAATGATTGGATATTTGCATAGATATTTTTGGGTAGTTAATGATTGGATAAACTTCTTCTTAATGAGGAATATGAGCTGGGGAAGACAAATGCCGCAGGTAGAACTGAAATTAGCCCGGTGGCTCCTGAGGCCCAATTCACAGCCTCATCCCAGTCTGCAGAGTGAATCTCAACCCAGAATGTACATCAAGAATCAGCTGGGCAAGTTTCCCAACGTACCCGTGTTGTGGCTTCATCCTCCAGACATTGAGATTTCACTTGCCTAGGATAGACTAGGTCACTTGGATGGGACATCAGTGGGAGCTGAGATGTCTCCATTAGGGTGGGTGGGTAGCACAGTGGGGGACTGACAGGGAGCAGAGCAGGAGGTGACAGCCCGTGTGTTGAAATGACTGCAGACAATATCAGACAAAACACTCTTCACCGTCTCTTTCCTGCCCAACCAGATATTCTTTGAGGATGGACCCACAAATGCATAAACAGAAACATAAATAAATAAATAAAAGCTGATAACTGCCTCCAAAATACATGTTGGCAGACCGACTTTCTCCATCACGCATTGTCAGGGGTGGGTGGGACATTTCCTGGCCAAGTATTTTGCTTTTGTTTTTTTTTTCCCCTGGTGACAGAAAAGGTCTTGCTCATAGAATTTCCTCTGCTCTGTGCTAACGATAAATGATTCAATAATAATTAAAATCCCCAGTGGCTCCCAGGGGAAAATGTGTTATAATAGGCAACTCATCTATGATGACATTAATATATATAGATGGCAACATAAGACATCCCACTGGAAATAACCAGGAGTCATACCTTATTAATGTCCTCTGACAGTTGGCTTCAGGGCAATGTTCTCCTTTAATAACGTGAAGTGCCTTATTAAGGCTGGTCGAGTATTAGTTTTTGCTTTGGGTGATGTAAACATGCAAAATTGTTCTCCATTCTCAGGGCTGGGAAAAAGATAGTTTTGCATTTACTGTTTTTTGTGTGACGTTGTCAGGAATTTGTCCAATTTGGCTTTCATTTGAATTAGTTCCATTCCTAGGGCTTGAAACAGGTCGTCTTTTATAGCTTCACTGTCTTGCTGCTGGTATTTTCGTTCATGAAAATTCAGCAGAAACAAAGAGTTCTCTTGATTTCACAAACACCTAAGGTTCTGGTGCAAACCTTGTGGTTCTTCAGCTTGTTGTCACTATACTTTTGTCATTTTAGGGACTTGGCTGACAGGCAGAGTCGGAAATTTTGTGGTAAACAGAGGGTAAGGGAGTGTGTTCATATTCCTAAATATCTGGAAGAAAAAAAAAAGGAGGAAGTGTGGGTATCTTGAATTTGTGAGAAGGAAAAAAAGTGTTTCCAGTTTTAGGTCTAGGTAAAAACCAGATTTTTAGAAAAGTCAATTTGAAGTGTCTGAGAGCATTGCATGCATTTAAAAATAAATCCATTCGGGTTACAGTCTTTGAAAATGGATAGTTCTTGCCGGACCCTGGCTTTTTCTTTAACAAGAAGGGTTAGGATGTAGTTTTAATGAACTTAATGAGGGATTCAGTAACTCCAAAAGGATCAATTCCACTTCAGTAAGGATGAGACCCACGACCTAACATGGCTTCCTGAAAGGAAAAGAGCTGTGTTCTGGCACCTTCTAGCGTTGGGACGTGCTGAGACTTGGCTTCCCCATCCGGAAGACTGGGGTGATGAGTCCCTCAGGGAGAGCTCTGTGAGGACCTGTGAGGACATATATACATAGGCTCAGACATAGGGGACTCAGTTTCCCTCTGTTCTCTGAAATTCCCTGTCCCTCACGGCAGTGACTGAGCCCTCCTCTTCCTGGGACGCTGGAGTGGTGACATTCCTCAGAACACCCCACCTGCCTCTCTTCCAGGGCCCCCTCAATGTCCTAGGTGCTCAGGATTTTAAACCAAGTTCTCCAGGCAATTCTCAGACACGTTAAAGAGGACCCTGCATTAAGAGTCTCCATTTCATTCACACTTGGCCCTGCCCTGTGACTTATTAGTCACAGCTGTGTTGGGATAAAGTGTGGGGAGCACCCAGCTTTAACTTATTTATCCAAGATGTTTATCTGAACTCTTCTCTGATAAGACTTTTCTTTTTTTGTTGTTTTTTTTTTTTTTTTTTTCTTTTTTTGAGACAGTCTCACTCTGTTGCCCAGGCTAGAGTGAGTGCCATGGCATCAGCCTAGCTCACAGCAACCTCAATCTCCTGGGCTCAAGCAATCCTCCTGCCTCAGCCTCCCGAGTAGCTGGGGCTACAGGCATGCGCCACCATGCCCGGCTAATTTTTTCTACATATTTTTAGTTGTCCTGCTAATTTCTTTCTATTTTTAGTAGAGACGGGGTCTCTCTCTTGCCCAGGCTGGTTTCAAACTCCAGACCTTGAGCGATCCTCCCGCCTCAGCCTCTCAGAGTGCTAGGATTACAGGCGTGAGCTACCACATCCAAGACTTTTCTTTTTATCAGTCAGAAAAGCTGCCAAATCTAGTGCAGACCCTGGAAAGCCCGGTGCCTGCCAGCAGTAGTGACATCCTTCCAGCTCTTTGGTACAAAAACGAAGAAAGACAACTTTGCTCTTGTATTTTACAGTCCATTGTTAGCCCTCCCTTCCAGGTTCCCCAACAAAAGACCTTATAAATATCTAAGAACTTAAAAACAGGGCAGTGCATTTGCCCACTCTGCAAAATCAAATGTTAAACATCTTTGGTTCTATTGATAAAACCCTTGAAGTTTATCCTGCAGGTCTGACAGCTGTCTTTATTAACATGGGAGAAGACAGCTCTCATGGCATGCTTTTTGTGACCCAAGTTCTCACCTGGCATAAGCAATTAGCAAAGCTGAATTCAGTAGCTGGGGGGAGGCCATGTGATTTGGCCACAGGGTGTGACAGACAGCTGCTCCCAAGTATCTGGGTTGCCTATTTAGTTTGTAAGGAGGGCCTTGAATTTTAATCAGTTTTTTCTCAAAGTGTATTTCCTTATGAGGTCTTTAAAACTAATTCCCAGAATCTGTGGGATTTTTTTCCCCCCTTAAACCTTGTGCCTCCACCTGACAAGATTAAAAGGAAATCAATGGATTATTCTTGAATGAGTCCATTCTTCTTTAACAAAGAATTACTTCACTAGAAACAGCAGCCTTTGGACAGATCTTGATGCCTATGGGGTTGACTAGATTTGCAAAATTTTGCTTAACATCCTCTCCCAAACACAATTGAGCCAACTGCTAAAAAAAAATTTAACTATAAAAATAAATGTAATGAAGATGAACTGAAAATTCTAACCTATTCCCCACCCCTCCTACCCTACCCAAAAACCTCCATATGCATTTTATTATATCTGTGCCCAGAGGAAGAATTCATATTTTCTCATGTTGGTTTTTCTGAGGCTTCCTACTGTGTTCTTTCCCCAAGCCACTGCCTTCCATATTAAGGTAACTTCTCTAATAAAAAGTTCAAATATCTCAAAAGGGAGCAAAGTGTCCAGCCACGGGCATGTGATTCACAGTTGAGCTTTAATTGGGCAGGCGTCACAAAATTGAAACAAGGACTGGCACTCAACGTGACACGTCTCTAATCAGACAAGACGGTTCCATAACTGTCGTCAAACTTTTCAAAGTCAGGAACCCATTTTACCTTCCACGTTGTATGCTTTGTACACAGTAGTTCTAGAAAGTTCATCTGCCCGCACGATGCCAGTGTAGACTCTGTACTCTGCTGTCCCACGCCACACCACCCGCCCATTCCAACCCCAGAAAGGCATGCAGCAAAGACGTTGAGGAGGAAGCACGAATGGACAGGAATCCCACACACTCTGCTGTGTGCCTGCCCGCCACCCCCTGCCACGTGTGTGCATGGCCCGGTGGCCTCATGAGCGTCCTGCTTTTTGTGTTGTGGCCACTATTCTTCCTACCTGCCCAGCCCTTGAAAATATATCAACATAAACCCATTCCACCCTCTGGTTGGGTCATGTTCTCCTTCTGATTGATAGTAGAGGCTGACCAATCCCTCAGCCTCCCGCGTGACTTCTCTTCCCACCACAATGATGGGGGAGCAAGTTATTGGTTGAAGGGGCTGCACATCCAAGACGTAGGTTGGTCCATAGCCTGTGCTGTCCCTGGCACAAAAGAAAGGACTAAGAGAATAAGGTATATCCATGCAAGAAATGAGGCTGCGACAGCTCACAACCAATAGCTGTGTGGTTTTAGGCTCTACCCTCACTTAGACTTGATTTTCATATATCCTAGGGCACACTTTTCTCATAGAATGAAAGCATAACTCATGTTTGATTTTGTGTGAAAACCTTGCATACTGCACACAGATGTACCCATGAATTCACGATGCATGAAATAATTGGGTCATTGGTATTCTAGATGCTTTATATTATGTGGAAATATTTGGTGGATGATTACAGATTCTGGGGACGTTTTGTTTTTCCATTTATCATGATGAAATAGAGTTCCTGCTATCAAAAAAAAAATTCATTATCCTACACCTTTACAGAACTGATTAGGTTATACGGTGAGGGATGCCTGGATATATCAGGTGCTTAGCACGGTGCTGGGTGCTTGGCAGCCAATAAATGGTGGCTAATACTACCAAAAGTTTGGTTTCAGGAGGATACTTGGTACAAAGAATGGCTGTATTACATACTGGTTTTAACTCATTCACCTCTTTGGGTCTTGGCGTGAGCTCTGCCAGTAGCTACCAGTGCATGGACTTGTGTGGGTTACTCAGAGAACAGAAAAGGGCCGCCGTGGTTTTGGAGGAAGAGCTTAATATCCACATCAAGGGTTGAACTTATTGGGACCTGTGCAAGTCCTCTTTGCTGAGTTCTTGACTCCCCTGCAGTTGAGTTGAGGCAAGATGAAAGTCCCTGTGGCTTTGTGAAGATTGTGATTATGTTTTGCTTTGGAGATGAATGACATTTGTTTCTTCCTGACTCAAATGGTTCGTACCAGATGTTACACAGCAAACATGGAATTAGAAACCCCCAAACGTCAGAGAAGACTAGACTGAAAGATATGGTAATAGATGGTCCCCACAGTGGGACAAATCCCTCTGGGACTCAGGACAGGAATTCCCCAATGCCTTCACTCTGAGCTGTGGTTGCTGTGTCGTGTGGTGGCTTCTCAGATCCTGTGAGAGTTCTAAGGAGCTGCCCAACTGTCTCCGAAGGAAGGCAGCTTCTATCTTGCTGACAGAACTTTCCATCCACTATTCCTGCGTCTTTTTCTCATTGTCCCACCATGTTAACCCCAAACCCTTATGGCATGTAAACATCTCAGATTACAGGTTCTACGTAACTGTCTGTAGTTTGTGAAACAAATAAGTCATCATAGTATAGGGGAGGTAAGAATTTTCCTCTACCCTCTTAAGTTCTGTGGCTGGGGCCTGTGAACTAAACCAACAAAAGACAAGTTGACAGGAGAAAAAAAAACACACAAATTGTATTTGATGTTAATATTTTTATTTGACATTGAGGGCTTCATAGGAAAAGTGAAAACCCCAAAGAAGCAGCTAGACCCAGGGGCTTATATACCATTTTAACAGAGAGCAATAAATTGTGGAGATGTGAGAAGAATAAGAAGGAGTTTGGGCTGGGATGGTAAATTGTGGGAAAGTGACCAGGAAATATATGAGGGATAGGAATGGATAATAAGGGTTGTTTTAGTAAGGTTTTTTTGTACAGATTCATCTCAGGATTAACTCCCTGTTTCCAATGATAAGAATGTTCTCCTCTTGCTGGTACAGTGAGGATGCCCTTCTCTTGGGAAATTTATGCTTTGCTTTTAGGTAGAAAGGGGGAGGGCAGAGAGCCCTTCCTGCACTTGCTGTTTCTCAATTGCCTTCAGCTCAAAATAATGTGCCAAAGTGATGTTTTTGGTGTTGGCATGTTCTGGTTCTCTTGAACTAAAACACTTTTAGAAATTCTCCTAGGCAGGATAGAAGAGGGACAGATGGCATTTACCTATTGAGTTTGAGCTGTCCGCTGAGGGTGGAACTATGTACAAAGCAGGCAAAGCCCAGCCTTAATGGGCCACATGTTCTCATGGGGGCAGAGAGAATAAGTAAAGTAATTTTAGGATATTAGTACCATGATGAAAATTTCAAAATGGTGTGTTCTAGAGCTATACTGTCCAACACAGTAGCCACTAGCTGCATAGAGCACTTAAGTACTTGATACATGACTCATCAAATTGAGATGTGCTGGTAACTACAGAATACACACCAGATTTTGAAGTCTTCATGCAACAAAAAATATAAAATATCTCAGTAATTTTTTTAAAGGAAATTATTTTATCTTGGATACATAAGGTCAAATAAAATATTAAAATTAATTTCACCTGTTTCTTTTTAGTTTTTGCCACTCCACCCAGCTGATTGAAAAAAAAATTGTAGAGACAAGGTCTCACTGGGTTGCCTAGGCTGGTCTTGAACTCCTGGCCTCAAGCGGTCCTCCTGCCTCAGCCTTCCGAAGTGCTGGGATTGCAGACATGAACCACTGTACCTGGCTTTGACATAACTCTAAAAGCCAAAGAGTCAGCTTGTTTTATGCAAGGCAGCAAATCAACACCTTGTGCCAACTATAGTTGAGACAATGGGACCACCGTGAGTGAAAAAGGATTCCCTAGTTAGGGCATCACCGTTATGTAGAAGTCCAACCATGACACTCTTAGCCAAATCTGGCCATTGAACTTGCCTACTTTTCCATTTTATTCCTCAAATAATAAGCAGTGGAGACTCCGTGGTCATTAGTGTTCTGGGACTATTTGCTAAGCTTTGTTTCTGTTTTTTGTTGTTTTCACAGTGCTTTGAACCGGACGCACTGTTACTAATAGCTGGTGGAAATTTTGAAGACGAGTTTAGGGAGGAAGTGGTCCAGAGAGTTTCTCTTCTCCTCCTCTATTACATTATTCATCAGGAAGAAATCTGCTCTTCAAAGCTCAACATGAGTAATAAAGAATATAAATTTTACCTACACAGCTTACTGAGCCTCAGGCAGGATGAAGACGCCCATTTCCTTTCCCAGAACGAGACAGAAGATATCTTGGCTCTCACCAGGCAGTACTTTGACACTTCCGGGAGCCAGGTAAGAAGTGCAAAATGGTAAGATCCAGTCTCACCATCTTAAATTTTTTTTTTCTTCTCATTTAGTCCTCAGACATCCATGGACTTTTAATGGAGGTAAGTATCTGTGGATTTTAGGGATGGCCTGTTGAGTGACATAATTGAAAATTTTGAGTCCAAAAGTGGAAATGTAATGACTAATTGGAAGATGAGTTTCAGCCAGAAGGTAAGTAGGTGGATAGGCAGTCCAGGTGACAGGGCAGCTCCCTTCTCCTGCGTCCCCCTGAGTTCTGAAGTTCATGACTCATGGCTTTTTGATGAATCTCCAAGGCCTGGCTGAACTGTAGTGGTAGAAGGCAATGTGTCTATTGGCCTTGCCTTCTGGCCAGGGAGGAAGGCACTAATGATCAATTCATCTCTCTGAAAGTGATGAGAGATGAATTGATCATTCGTGATCTCACTGAAAGAGCAGCTTGCAAACAGCATTCTTCATGACAGTCAGCACCAGACAATATCCCTTCTGTGGCTTTTGATTTGTGTCGTGTGTGTACAGGTTTCATGCAAATACCTCTCCTCTCTGCCAGCTCCACCTGGTCTCTGATGCCTTCGTTACTATTCCAGCAAAAGTTGGCCTTTCAATTAGCTTCTTGTCTGCTTAGCATAAACTTTATTTAAGCTGTGTTTTCTCAAAAAATTGAGAAGCCATGACCATATTTTGAGGAGTGTGGTAAACCCTGTTTTTTTTTTTTCCCCCCTCTGGAAGTTTTCATTGACACATATGGACAAATGTCATTCTTGGTGTCAATTCTGGCTTCTGGGAGCCCATAGGTATCTGCAGCTTGATGACCAGCAAACAAATCCTTCGATTTGCCATCAATATGTTTAATCTCTAACATGATTGGCAGAGCAAATGGAAAGGCTGTTTGCTGAGGACTCTGGGAATGTCGCATCAATAGCTGTAATCCTGTCCATTTCACAATAGGGCCATGTTTTTGTTCCTATTTTTGTTTTCGAAAAAGGGGACCCTTTATAGAATTTGGTTTTCTGCTTAAACCAGGAAGTGTGCCTTCCTATAATTTCTTGAGTGCAAAATCCATCTAATACAAGGCTGATTCAAATGAACTAGTAGGATTTTGGTTATTCTACCTGTCACTGCCTTTTGATTCAGATGAAATGGAAATGGAAAGTCAATCGAAGCAGATGGTGTATATATATCCAGGTGCCTGGTTATCCTACACATACTGCAAATACCCAGGCTCCTGAGTGTCTGAGAGACAAAACATTCCTTGAACAGAATGAAATAATTTGAGATTATGTATAGAACCGCTTTATCTAGCTATTTAGGCATTGAGAGTTGAACCGCTGAGTCATAACCCTTCACTAGGCCTGAGACCAAAAATCTCCTTGATGACACCGCTGTGTCTAGTTCCTGGGAAGGGTTGATGATCCCATGCACCTGGGCTAGGGTTGTTCAGGAAGTCAGTCAATCCAGACTTTGCAGGAGGCGTTTGGCACCTCGCTGCAGGCAGTGGCTGTCTCTGACCAGGTGGGTGCAGTCATGGGGGGTGCTGGCTCCCTTGGCCCATGATTTTCTGGTGGTTTTGTCATGCACAGGACTCCGCTTCCATAGGTCAAGCCTCTGACAGTCACTCCAGATTGGCCCCAGCTCGCTCCCCAAGAGAAACCACTTCACACCATAGTGCTCTAATCCAGCCAACCTCCCTAGCAGTCAAGCATGGAACCATCCCTTTATTCCTTCATTGTTTTTTGTTCAAACCACTTGGCGTTTTATCTTCTTGACTCAGTCTCTTAATGTGGCCGCTTCTTCGGTTCTCTCCACCGTTTGCTGTTTCCATGCCATGGCTCTGCCCAGCCCTGCCTCTCTTGCAGAGGATGGGTATTTCTCTCGCCACACTCAAAGGACTTCAGGGGTGGCAACAGTGGCTGGAATTCTCCTTGATATCCTGATGGCACTTTGAGACTGTGAAGGCTTTTACAACCTCCATGGGAAACTCAAGCTTCCGATGAGGTTTATGTGACATGGAAAATGTCAGGTGCCAGGTCGCGGCCACTTGCCGCCTCCCCATTGCTCCGCATCTCCACGGGTCAGCGCTGCACATGGCTGGTTGGAGGGCCCGCTGCTGGGGCCAGCCCCACAGTAGAGTGGCAGGGGACCCCGCATGCTGGAATGCCCCTGGGCCCACATGCTGCTGCCTGCTTCTGGGCCCTGCGCAATGACGTCCACTGTCCAGGCCCCTCTGGTCTGGTGTCCAGGCCCCGCTGGGTGCTAACCCTAACCCTAACCGTAACCCTAACCCAGGCCCCAGCTTCCTGTTATCCAGCCACGCTGCTCACATGATCCTGATTGGGTAATTTTTGAATCCCACTGTTGCTGATTGGATGTTAAAGCTTGTTGCTGATTGAATGTTAAAGCTTATTGCTGATTGGATGTTAAAGCTTGTTACTGATTGGATGTTAAAGTTGTTGCTGATTGGATGTTAAAGTTTATTGCTGATTGGACGCTTTTTGAGCCCTACCAAGGGTATAAAAGCAGGAGGAGACCAAGGAAGGAGGGGAGAAGATCAGAAGAGAGCTGTATGTAGTACTAGCTGTGCTGAGCCTGCTGTGGATGAATAAAGGCTGTTCTCTGACTCTTCCTGTGCCGCTGGGTTCTTTCCCTGGTCAAGAGCTGTAACCCTAGCTGTCCACGTTGCTGCAACATATGCTCTGTGCTCTTTCAACTTGTTTTCACCCATGAAACTACTGGCTCCTTCTCCAAATGTATCAAAATTTTGGTAACTGACTCTCAGCCTTCCACTCTACTTCACACCACAGTTATTAATACAAATGTGATCTTTCCAGGCTCCCCAATTACAGATTACAAAGAAAATCCAACGGGCACTTTTTACTCCTTGTCATAAGAATGCAACCTTGACATAAGAATCTTCCCTTGATTCTTCTTTTGATGAAGTTATTTTCTCCCTCCTTTCCTAGATAATGAGCTTAGTAGAGTGCCTGGCACATAGTAGGCACTCAAATGTTTAAATAAACGAATGGGAATGCTAATGGGATGTGAGGCAAAATTCAAGCCTGTCAGATGTTCATAACTTAATAGAGGAAAATTGATCTACACATATGAAGTCTTGTGTTCTCTGGGAGTTCAAAGAACACAGGCACTGTGCTAGCTTTGATTTGCAGTGAGCACATACTACATTGAACTTGAGACTAAAGGCATATAGGAAGTTGTGGTGTTCTTTGCAGAATCTGTGTGGAGTCAAGGTAGGGAAGGCAGATTTGACTCGAAGCTGGGAGAGAAACAATTTACCAGTTGAAAGGATGTTAAACAGTGAGAGCAGGAGATCACCTTTGAGAAAACATATCTTTAAGAGGGTAAATAGAAAGTTTGGGTTAATGAGGACCAATGGGTGGGGGTAAGAAAATTGAGTTGTCACTGCAGATCAGAAAGGAACAACTATTTTCCAAAGAGAGTTGTGTCTGAGACAGGAGAATGATGATAGTCATATTTCCAGAACATTTCCATTTTCTGTTAGGTGAAATATTCCTTATCTTTTGGGGAAATCCTAGAGATGCTTTCATCAAAGCACTTCAGAAGGTAAATTTTTCTCTTGACTTTGTATCTGATTTCAGTGCATGGAAACCAAAACGTTGCAGGAAAAGTCTGGAATACTGAGCGGCAGTGGTGCTGATGAAAACACACTGCCTCGGTTGGCAGTGACAATCATCGCTTTGTCCCTCCAAGGTGTTTGTCTGGGACAAAGAAACTTGCCTTCGCCAGACTATTTTACAGAATATATTTTCAGTTTTGTGAATAGTACAAATACCCTCCACCTATCAGGTAAGGATGCTTTTTGTGAATTTAACTTTCAAGCCACACCTACTAAATAAACTATGTCGAATACAGAAGCTGAAGTTTTGATGAGTGCATTTGTTCAGGGAATGTTTTAAACACCATTATTTCTCAGCATATAGTCAGACTGGCCAGGGGGCCTTGCTTGCCGGGCAGATGTGCTATGATATCTATGTGATGATGAGGGAAAAACATGAACTCGGTCCATTTCTGCAGCAAATGAAATTATGGATGTAGAGCCAAAGGGAGAGATTGTCTGATAGGCCATGGGTACCAACAGAATATTTTCCTAGTTGGGCCATGATGCTGGGCCAGGTGTGACAAAGTGTTGTGTAGAATGTGACATAGTATTCTAAATGGCGCAAGATATTTGGTAGCAGTTTCCTTGTAATCGTAAATGTAAGTCATTTAATTTTAAATGAAAGTAATATTAAATGTGTGCAACTTTGCTACATTCCTGACTTCCAGCTTTCTGAGGCTCCAAGATGAAATGGGATGTCAGGCTCCAAGATGAAATGGAATGAAGTTAGATGTTTGTTTTTCACATTTCTTTGTGTTTGACAAGGCATTAAAAGTGAAATTCCTAATTTTTAAAATCTGCATCAAAATACCCTGAGGCAGATTTTTTTTTTCCAAAAAAACACTTCATTACTAATAGGACAACTACAAAAAGATTCCTTAATATCATAAAAACTTAATGTTCACATTTTCCTAATTTTTGAAAAAAGTTTTTATTTTTTAATTGAATCAGGATCCCAATAAGATATATAAAATACAAATTGTTGGTCTGTCTTTTAAGTTTCTTTTATAAGTGGCATGCTTTCTCCTTTATTTTGTTGCAAATTATTTTGTTGGGGGAAAAATAGGGCTTACCATATGGATTTTGCTGATTGAATTCTTAGCCATTTAACATGTATTTCAATGCACTATGTTTCACGTATATTGGTTGTCATAAGTAGAGACTTGATTAGTTTTAGATGGTTTAACTGTTTTATAGTTCATACCTTCCATTAGGAAGAATGTAACATGTGGTCTCTTTGAGAAGTTGGAAGCTATTGGTGACCAACTGCCTAGATTTATTAATTATTTAGGGCTTACAAAATGATTTTCTCATTCTCTCATTTCTTCCTTATTTATTAGTATAATAATCCTATAATGGGAAAAATTTCCTCTTATCATTATTTCATGTTATTGAGGTTCTTAAAGGAAACTAAGGGCAAACCTTTGATAGTTTAATTTACCAGTTTTCAAAATAACAATTTTCTTTTGAAAACTTTTCAAAAGAAGACAGAGTAATAGCTAACAAACATGTTAAAAAATGCTCAACATCTCTAATCATCAGGGAAATGCAAATCAAAACCACAATGAGATATCACTTATCTCTAGTGAGAGTAGCCTTTATCAAAAAGTCCCAAAGCAATAAATGTTGGTGTGGATGCGGAGAGAGAGGAACACTCATACACTGCTGGTGGGGCTGCAAACTAGTACAGCCTCTGTGGAAAGTAATATGGAGATACCTCAGAGAGATACAATTAGAACTACCATTTGATCCAGCAATCCCGTTACTGGGCATCTACTCAAAAGAACAAAAGACAGTCTATAAAACATATCTCTGCAGTCAAGTGTTTATAGCAGCACAATTCACAATTGCAAAGATGTGGAAACAACCCAAGTGCCCATGAATACATGAGTGGATCCATAAAATGTGGTATATGTATACCATGGAGTTCTACCGAGCCACAAAAAACAGTGGTGATCCAGCACCACTTGTATTACCCTGGACAGAGCTGGAGCCCATTCTACTAAATGAAGTATTCCAAGGATGGAAAAACAAGCACCACATGCACTCACCATCAAATTGGTTTTAACTGATTAACACTTAAGTGCACATATAGTAGTAACATTCATCGGGTGTCGGGCAGATAGGAGGGGGGAAGGGGGGTAATTATATTCGCACCTAATGGGTGCAGTGCGTACGGTCTGGGGATAGACATTAATTGTAGTGATGCTCCCCTGTATGTGGTGAGTCATTTTCTCTTGCTGCTTTCAAGATTTTACCTTTGTCTTTGACTTTCAGGAGTTTGACTTTAATGTGTCTGGATGTGGATCTTTTTGTATTTTTGTATTTACACTTGGTGTGCGCTGAACATCTTGAACATGCATATTAAGGTTTTTACATCATATTTGGGAAGTTTTAAGCTATTATTTCCTCCAGTATTTTTTTAATTTCTCTTTTTTCTTTCTGTCACTGCCAATACATATGTGTTGGTATATTTGCTGCTGTTCCACAGGTCTCTGAGACTTGTTCTTTTCTTACTTTTCTTTCTGTTCTTCAGAAAAGATTATATCTGTTAATCTATTTTCATGTTCAATGATTTTCTTCTTTCTGCCTTCTCGAATATGCTGTTGAGTGCTTCTGGTGAATTTGTTTTGTTTCAGTTTTGAATTATTTCAGTATTCTTTAACTCCAGAACTCTTCATTTGGACTTTTATATAATTTTGATTTCCTTATTGAAAATTGCTGTTAGTTGATTTATTATTGTCATACTTGCCTTTAATTCCTTAAATGTAATTTCCTTAAACATATCATAATAGTTGCATTGGAGTCTGTCTGCTAAATACAACATCTTAGACTATTTAGAGATATATTTATTGGCTGTTCTTATTCCTGAATATGGGTCACATTTTCCCATTTCTTTGCAAGTGGCAAAGTTTTTTTAAAAAATTGGTCATTTAAAATCTCAAGTTCGTAATTTTTCCTACCACTAGTGATAGCATTTAGGAAAATCACGAAGACATTGTGTTCACAAGTCCATAGAAATTTATTATTATATTCTTTGTATCAATCATTTTCAAAAAGCCTAGAGCTATAATAAGGCAAACTAAACTGTAATAACTGTAATATGTAAACTGGTAGCCATCTCACAGTAGCATTAGAAAACAAGGTCTAGTTTGTCTTTTTAATCTCAGCTCCTTTTCATTTCTTTTTTCTTTTCTGCATGTACACTTAGGAATGAAGCAATTTGATTGACTTAACTACATTAAAATAATAGTTCATCTACTAAGTGTGTATAGTGCCTCAGGGGTGTAAATTTCCTAAGGATTAAGCCAGTTTCATCTTTATTTATTTTTATTTTTTTATTTTAGCGTATTATGGGGGTACAAGTGTTAAGGCTACATATATTGCCCATGCCCCCCTCCCCCCTCGAGTAAGAGCTTCAAGTGTGTCCATCCCCCAAACGTTGCACATCTTACTCGTTGTGGTTGTATACACCCATCCCCTCCTTCCCCCTTCCACCCTCCCAACACCCAATAAATGTTACTCCTATATGTCCACTTAGGTGTTGATCTGTTAATACCAATTTGCTGGTGAGTATACGTGGTGTTGGTTTTTCCATTCTTGAGATACTTCACTTAGTAGAATGGGTTCCAGCTCAGTTTCACCTTTAATTTACATTTTAATATAAAAAAATAGTTGGCTCAATGAAAGGCCTTTCCATTGGTGGAACTGTCCATTCTACCATCTCAAGGGTACGAATCTGGTGGGGACTATCTATATAAGGGAATACTGTGCTGTGGCCACGTGAAATTGTGATTATTCTGAACTTGCCTGTTATTCTATGTGACACCAGATTTTATATGAAATTTCTAGAACTAGACCAACTTCTCAACACTCTCGTGACCAGAAGTACCTGTATCAAAATGGATAAAACTCATCAACTTCAAAGAAACAAAACATGACTATCCATGACTGGGGCTACCCTATTCTATCTGAATCTGTAGACAAAGAGTCAGATGATGGCCAATTTCCTGGGATCAGGTTATTGACATTATTCCCATTTACCCTCACTTCTGTTGCCAGAGGAAGCTCAGTTGTGGAAATTCCATCAGAGTTGTAGAAAAGTTAAAGGATAATGTGTATTTCTTCAAAGTAAAATTATTCTCTTTCTATAGCGTGGTCATGATTTCTTTTTCTACAAGTGGATCTCTGTCAACATAAAAAAAGGCCAAGGTTCCAGTAGAATGATACATATTGCTTTTCCTCCCTTGAGTCCATATTGAATGCATGATAATTAATTCAGAAAACATACATTGAGCATTTACTATGCACCAGTACCATCCTGGGCATGAGAGAGAAAACGTTGACAAATTAGCATAGCACCTATGGATTGCAAGGTAGTGGGAGGATATAGACTCTACATAGGTATATGTGATGAATTGACACTTTAATGTAGGTTAGAGTAGGAAGGATTACTTTGGACAGTGAGCAACAGAAAAATATCTGTATGGTGGGTGACACTGAGAAGGTTTTGAGAGAAGTGTGTATGCAACTGTGAACATATCTATATTGTATTTCCTACAGGAGTGTGTTTAAAGTTCATCTCACTGCTCTGCTTCCATGTGCTAATGATCAATATCAGTTGGGCAAATCTAGAAATGTACATCTCATATAGTCATCATTAAGAATATCTTGAGAGGCGCTATTACTAAACATAGTTTTTTTTTTTTTTTTTTTTTTTTTTTTTTTTTTTTTTTTTTTTTTTTTTTTTTTTTTTTTTTTTTTTGGTTTTCTTTACTCTCTGTTGAACCCACATTTCTCAAACTTGATCATAGAACCTTCTCCTGCCCTAATCATTTAGAAAATCCTGAGACATTATGTTCCATGATCCATGGTTTAGCATGTACTGAATACCTATTGTGTTTAAACATCATCTTTGTCATTTCCGTTATCTCATTTATTACAACAGCCATATGATGTTGGTTTGTATAATTCCATCCTACAGCTGAAGAAATTGAGGCTTGGAGCTAATAAATAATTGCCTAAGTTCACAGAAACTTAGGATATATACATAGGTTGTTTGATAGCATATTCTATGTTCTTAACTATGTTTTTGTCTTGAAAATACTGATTTAAATAAGTTAAAACTTTCTTGTTATTTGTATTTTAATGAAAAATTTTCCTACTGAGCACAATCTATATCTTAAAATAGGAAAAGTCTTTACCTACTGTTAATAATACTGAATGTTCCCATAAGTTATGAAAACACAATTAGGCAGTATCACATTTTTTCTATTATATATTTTTAAAAGTTAATTTCTGTTACTTCTGCCATGTATAAAAGGTATGTCAGAGTTGCTGCTAATTGTGTTCAACATCAGGTGACAAGAGTTGGCCTCTATATTGTCAAATCTCCTTAATGCTTCTTCGGGGCCAATGCTGCTGCTTATTGGCCGCATGAGCTACATTTTCATTCTGTTTTTTTTTTTTTTTTCATTATTAAAAATATTTTTTGTTCAAATTTTAATAGCATGTAATGAATCAACCTTTAAGGACATTCATTCTCAGGAAGAGAATGAATTTTCCTTAGGAAGACCTTATTTGCGTAAAGAACAAAGCTCATTTATTAAAATTTAGGGATTATTAAAATTTACGGGGTTCTTTATTAAAAATTTGGCATGTGTCTTCTAAGAATGTGAATAATCATTTTCTGTGCTGACCATGCAAAATAAAACTTCTACAATAATTCTTATTTGTCACAACATGTCACTTTCTTCGTGACTCTTGATGGGACTCTAAGGTGGAGCATCAGATCTTAAGATCCCTGCCTGCACTGCCTAGACCAATGGTTTCTCCACCATGTTGTGGGCCAGCAGCCCCAGGGAACTTTCTGAAAATGTCTATTCTCAGGTTCCTTCCGCCAGAATCTACTAAATCACAAACCCTGAGATTGGAGCCAAGTGCTCTGTTCTTACAACAAGCCCTTTAAGTGACTCTTAAAATGAAAGTTTAGAAACCACTTCTTTAGAATGTTTGCAAAGCTTCCACGGAAGTCTGATGACATCAATCCAAACACAAGCATATATTGAAGTTTATTTTTGCAAAGGAAGAAAGATGTTTTAAAGATTATTGGCTGCATGAGCTACATTTTCATTCTGTTTTTTTTTTCATTATTAAAAATATTTTTTGTTCAAATTTTAATAGCATGTAATGAATCAACCTTTAAGGACATTTGTGTTAGTAATTTCAGAAGAAATTTAAAACAATAGTAACCTAAATAGCCCAGAAGCAGCAAGCATAGATCCAGGGCACAGAAGCTTAGAATAGAATAACCTTACTCTATGAGAAAGTATTCTAAAATGAGAAACGATTCAATTTCTTGACAATGAACCAGGGAAAGATGAAGGCATTCTGTTCTTGTTTATCTCTGCATTCCTTTACCAGTCAGGCCTTTTCCAATCGAAATATTTATTATAAAGGCTTCACCATCAAAAGTTTGTTGCTATGGTTTCCTTTTATTTCTGTCAGTATTTTTAATGATGAAATAATTATATTCCATCAGTAACCAATGGTGCAAAAGAGAATATTGTATTTGGCACACATTATTTTGATAAAGGAGGAAAAACACAAATTGAGTTTTCTGTTGATGCTTTTTGTAGGAGAAAACTTTTGGACTTCTTGCCCCAGTCCTTTTCTGAGAAATGCTTTCCTCACCCACAGAGGTGAGGCTGTATTTGAATAGCATCATTCTCCTTTTACCACGTGGGCAAAATTGATTGAACCAAAATGGATGCCTGACCCAAGAGAGCCCATCTGTGGCTTTGCTGAGCCAATCAGAGCTCCCTCAGGCCTTGCAGACTCAACCCAATCTTGGGTTCTCAGACTAAAAGTTCACTTCAGATGAACTTGGGGCTGATATGGCCTTGTGTTTACTAAAGGATTGAGGACCAACTGTGAAAGGAAACAGACATGGGCAGAGGGAAACCAGGTAAACAGGCAAAAATATATTTGGGCAGGGGGAGTGAGTGAGAGCATGCATACTCACCTATACACCCTAGGTTCTGATTTTCTAGATTCAAGTTGCAGGTCGTTATGGGGTATGTCCATCCTTTCAATACTTGGGTCCTACAAGATCCTCTGTGCCTTTCTAATACAGTCTCTTCTTGGTTGTCTCATTTCAGTCAGTTCTGTTGCAGGCAACCAAATATTTTCTGATCAAAATAAAACTTTTTATCCATGGAATCATCCCCAAAAATTTTTATGTGGAACATGCTCCCCTACCTCCTCCCCGAAGCAAATATGTCATCGTTGTTTTCTTATTAGCAATGTGCCTTTGTTTAAAATTTCTGTATTCTACAGCATGGCAAGTCAGAGCAGCTTTATAAATCACTAATTTTTATTGATTGCAACTACAGATCCCATATAGATATTGCTTTTGAGGTCTTATTCGAATAGAAGACATCCATTTGTACTAGCATAACTACATGCCATTCTCATTCACCTATGAGCAACCTTTAAATTGCAATGTTTGCACAAAATGCAAGCACTTCTGAGATGGACAAATGCCTTGTGGCAATTTTTAGAGACCTGTGGCATTTGCTGTTTACTTTTATGTCTTATAAGTATGTCTATACAATATCAAAAAATTATAAAAGTTTAGATAACAATCAGTAAAGTCAATAGGAAATGATGCTTTCAACTGTTTTGTTTTTTTGTTTATTTTTTGGAGAAGGGATCTCAATTGAGAGAAGTAGCCATATTGTTTACACACCAGCTGGTTGACACAGCATTCACATTTTAGGATTTTTACTTTTATTACTTTTGAAAATCCATGTTGCTTACACAGGATTATTAAATCAGAGTGTTATAGACAATAACCTCATTACCACCAAGCTCCAGCTAATCATGCAAAGTATTAGGTTTGTTGACACAAAGTTAGTGCCATCGAAAACCAACAAAAGCATCATGGCTTCCTTAGGCTGCTGGTTAGAAGACCAGTCAACACGTTGTAAAACATAATGTGTCTTTTTAAGAAAGAAGAAAGTATACAAAACTCTAATAATATTCAGAATGAAAGTGAGCTACAGTAGACTTTGATCAGCATCAGTGATTTAAAATAATCTTTAGAAATGATTTGGGGATGAAAGGTTGCAGGGAAACCTGTGTCGTCATGGCTTCATGTGTTCATTTTTGTTTTGTTTTGTTTTATTTTAGTGTATTATGGGGGTACGAGTGTTAAGGTTATTTATATTGCCCATGCCCCCCTTTCTCCCTTGAGTAAGAGCTTCAAGCATGTCCATCCCCCAAATGTTGCACATCTTACTTGTTGTGGTTGTATGTATCCATTTCTTCCTCCCTGATCTAGTTCTGACTCCTCAAGAATGGCCGTTGGTGGGGAATATGGTTCAGTGTTGAAGTTAGTAACAGCGTATGTTTTTCCCCTTGCAGACTTGCTTCTCTGCTAGGCAGCTGGTGGAGATATTTCTACAGAACAGCCATGTTGCATCCATTTCTAAGGAGGACTTCAAGCAAATGAGTCCCGGCATCCTCCAGCAACTTCTCAGTGGCTCTTGCCAGCTGCCCAAGGACCAGCAGGCGAAGCTGCCGCCCACCACTCTGGAGAGTAAGTTCTGGTTCTTCACTCAGAAAGCTGAAAAGCACAATATATGTTATAACAGTAATAATGAATGCAGGATACTTACCGTATACCAGGTACTGTCAGAAGCATTTTATATTTCCCAGCTCATTTAATCCCTTCAACAATGCTACGAGCTAGGTATTGTTATTACCCCCATTTTATAGCTGAGAAAACTCAGGCACAGAGAGATGAAGTGACTTTTCCAAGGACACACAGCTGGTAAGTGATGGAATTGGGATTCAAACCCAGGCAAGCTGGTCCCAGAGTCCTTGTGTCTAATCACTATGCGTACTATATTTCAATGTATATAGTACCTGTTGTAGATAATTTATATAAATTGATTTTGTCCCCTATATTTAGCTCAATCATGGACCAACTTAGAAGTCTGTAGTTGAGAAGTGGCATGGTATAAAAGAAAGAACATAAGCACTGGAATGAGAAATGCAGAGCTGAGTCATGCCTTCTTTCCCCAGCTACTCTGTGATCTTAACCAATCTCTCTACTTCCCAGATACTCCAGCAGTGATCTATAGGGCTTCCTTTCTCACATCAGGGCATGTGTTAATAGTGAAGGCACACTGGGGTCAACCAGAGCACATTGGGCTGCTCTGGGATGGAGGTGGCCCATCCAGGGGGGGTACCAGCCTTCCAGATGTGGCTGGCAGCCCCAGGAAGTGAAGGAATCAATATTCAGACTTACCTACATCCCACAGGGTCATGGCAGTAAATGAGATTTATCCTAAGGCTTCACAGGGTCCCTCAACATAATGTGTATAAACACGTGTTCAGTAAATTTAAAGCACTGTATATTTCAGAGTCCAACATTAAAACTGTTGGTTGGCCTAAGAACATCCATGACACACAATACAAATGTGACAGTGAACACATGCAACACTTAAAGTATTACCATCGATCTGAGAACCTTACATATATATATAATTTTTTTTTTCAGAGCTGCATTTATTTTTCTTTAAAATAGCCTGCCACTCCCATTGTAGCTGAATGGTTCAGCTACTCACAGTGGATTCTGCAGCTCATTGGAAGATTTTTATATGAACAAAACCATGCCAGGCCTAAATATTTAAGACTCCACATTTGCTGGTGGGAAAAAAGCTACATTAATAGTGAGCAGCTAAATAATTCAGCACTTGGCGGTCAGTAAGTGATGCTCACAGAATGGATGAGGATGGAACTGTGGCACCAAGGAACTTCCGTGGGTGCATTTATATTCCCACCACCTGACGTGACACCTGACATGTATAGGACATTCAGAAAAGTGTTTGGAACTTGAGGTCTATGAAAAAAGTTGTATCCCTTTTGGAAAGAACTTCTAGACCCTTCTAGAGAAAAGTCTTGCTGAAAAAAAAATATCAAGTCACACTGATTAAAGAATCTAGAAAAATATTATTGTCTTCGGTTAAAAAATGTTGCATCTCATAAGGAAAGGCCTTTTGGAATTACAGAAATGTATGACGTTACAAGGAAGAGGGGAGGACGACAGAGAGATTATTAAAAAAAATATTGTTCAGTATCGCAGAAACTCAACCCCTAAGTGCCACCTTCAATTGAGTTTCTAGAACAAAACATATTATGGCCATGTGTGTAGATCAAGAGTTTCAGACCTATTCAAAGTAGCTGCTCAGGAGTGGCATGGCGGATAGGTCTAGTTTTCTTGTAGCAATGGAAACGTTTAGACAGAACGTTTCTGCAAGTTCCTGACTCTGCCCAAGACCCCATGGCACTGACGTAGAAATCTAGAGCAAATTAGCAGAGTCCTATGGACACAAAAGTCAGATTTTATGGTTTTCACTCTGTCCTTCCTACATGAGAGCAGGGGAAATCTAACTCATGGAGGGTCTAAAAAGATTGATAAGCTCTGACGTTAGGAAACATCCATTTTCCAGTTTCACCCTGTGGCTGCCCGCAGGACAAAGGGGGAGAGGAGAAACAAAGGAATTGAAGAACTTGAAACTTTACCCTTTGCCTGGTAAATGTCATGCCCTAATTTGTCCTCGTCAATTCTTGACATTTTATTGCTTTTTGTAGCTACCATTAAAAAAGTGACAGCTTTGAATTTTATTAGACACCTCAGATTCCCATATTAAAATGAGAATAATGTCATTCCCATATACAGTCTATTTGGGGAAGGTATGGGATGTGAAACTTGCTGGAAGATCTTTAGGGATGTTTTAATAATGTGGGTATTTATTAAATTTGAATGAAATAAAACATCTATGTTGGCATATGAGCATTCTAAACTATTTTAAAATTTTTAAATTTTTAAAAATTTAAATTGTAACATATGCATAATATTTACCATCTTAACCATTTGTGTTTGTATATAGTTCAGTAGCATTAAGTATATGCACATTGTTGTATAACAGATCTCTAGAACTTTTTCTGCAACAACTCTCCATTTCCCACTCTATCCTAAACCATTTTATAGAGGTGTTCCGTATTATGATAATTAAATTGCTTGATTTAACTTATTATATATCTCTAATCACTAAAGAAAATGATCATTTAAGTGTGTAATTACCTTTCCTCCTCATTTACAAAAGTTCACCGTGACTTGTTAGTAATTTCTAAATAGTAGAAAAAAGCATTTGCTCTGAATATCTGCAACTAAATGAAAATGATAGCATGAATGACTCTTTACCTTCGTAGCATTTATACTCGATTCCTAAAGTCATTTCTTCTCTCTTAATTTTCTCTCTTCTAGTTCTTTCTTTGTTTCTTCTCTTTCACATGCATTTATTTTCATTGAAATAAACATTTGACTTTCTGAGTATTAAAAGATCCTGGAAGCCTAGAAACATTTTTAAGCCTTATAAAAATTATTGCAAATATCTAAAATGTAGACCGTTCATATTTATACTATCAACCGCTATACATTCATTGGTCAGTTTTCACCAATAAAATCACTCATTTTAGTCATTGAGAATAATAATCCCTTTGGACATGACAAATAATTTTGAGAACTCATGGAAGAAAATTCTTCCAAAGCACGAACTCATATTTTGTACACAGACATAGGTCTATGATGGGGCCACACTTTTTGCTACCCTATGACACTGTTCCTTGCCTTGGAGAGGTTTAAAATGTGATTAGATGGGAATCGTGACTAGTGACTGTCAGTGGATGTTGTAGTTTCAAGTGAGAGAGATTAGTTTCTTTGGAGGTAGGAGGTGAGCTTGGCCCTTGCTTGCTACAGTGATTGTTAGTAAGGAGTAGTCAGGGTAACTTCAAAGCAACAGGGTTATTTGGTGAAAGTTTTGTCTTAGTCCTTGCTATAACCAAATGCCAGAAATTAGTGGCTTGTAAGCAACAGACATTTGTTTCTCATGGTTCCAGAGGCTGGGAAGTCTAAGAGCAAGGCGCTGGCAGGTTCGGCATCTGGTGAGGGTTCGCCTCCTGGCTCCTAGCCTGGCGTCTGGTGGCTGTGTTCTCACCTGGTGGAGGGAAGTGACTCTGGTCTCCTCAGGTCCCTTATAATGGCATTAATCCCATTCAAGGGGAGGCAGAACCCTCATAACCTACTCACTTCCCACACATCCCACCTCTGAATACCGTCACTTTGGTGCTTAGATTACAATGTATGAATTTTTGGGAGACACATTCAGCCCATAGCAAATCTGTTCATTCTTTCTGGTAGAAATTAAAGCCTTTTTACCCCATATAACCCTTATTTTAAAATCCATATCCCTGTTAGCTGTTATTGCTAACAGATTCTTCTGGCATTTTCATCAGCTGAGGGTGAACAGAGGCCATCGATAAGCACTGACTGTTTTTGTAATCTCCTTTGACTTAGAATATGGCTACAGCACAGTGGCTGTGACCCTTCTCACGCTGGGCTCCATGTTCGGGACTGCACTGGTCCTTTTCCACAGCTGCGAGGAGAACTACAAGCTCATTTTACAGCTGTTTGTGGGCTTGGCTGTTGGAACACTCTCTGGAGATGCTCTGCTCCACCTCATCCCACAGGTAATTGGCTCTATTCCGTTGCAGGTGGAGTGCATCTCTGATGTCTCTCTTCATTTAACCACTGGAGATATTTACGTGAAATTTTATGGCGATTTCAATGAGTGCATACGGCAGTTAGTGTTTTCCATGGGAAAGAAACACTATTTCCCCAAAGCTTCTCTGCACCTGTAGAAGAGAAGAGATGGCCATACATTAGGTTCATTGCATGGCATTCTTATTTTTGAGATAAAACAAAGAAAAAAGTGATTGGATCTAGATTCCTATTAAGAAAGATTCAGGAAGCATATGCTAATTATCTACAGGGTATCCCCAAAGTCACCATACATAGGGAAAATGGGAAATTGTAGCTAAATCTACCTTTATTTGCAAAATATTCATTGTAAAATTTTACAAATTTTTTCTTCTATATGGAGACTTTTGGGACACCCTGTATAAATAAAAAAATATTGGGCTTCGAGACATCATGTTGGTTTTTCTCCAGTTACCTCCCCTCCACCCCAATATCAGATGGATCCCACTCTTCTCTGCTCTGTGTGCTTTGAGCTCTAAGGGTGGTGATGGTTTCCTGTGGTCACTAGTGTCTGGGTGCCACCTCATCCCTTGTTCCTACCCTTGACTGTACCCTCCATGTAATGGGACCATCGTTAATGGCGCTTCATCCAAGCCATCAAAGTGGAATTTTCTTCCCTGCCTAATAGTGTTTCGATTTTTTTTTTTTTCCTTAAGAAACACATAAGCACCAGGAAGCTAGTGACGTCTTCTGAGGCTCTTTATTTGTCAGAAATGACACAAATGAGACCCGAGTCTCAAAGGTGTTCAGCCGGACCTCGTCAGCTCTCCAGATGAGGTTACCTAGTCCCTGTGCAGCCTCTCACTGGGTGTGACCCCTGCAGACCAATGATCCTCCCTCTCCCAGAGCATGAGATGCTAAAATTTTCCACAAGCCTCTGGCAGTTTCCTACAGGGTCACTCTTGTTGCTTAGAGGCTTGATGATGATTCCGTGTTCTGAACATGGCAAAGTGAGCCCTGGAGAAATAAAACAAACCATTATTAGTCTTAATTTCCCTTGTAATCTAATTTTCTGGAAATATTTCAGGGCTTATTATTGGCTTGAGGCAGTGGCGGCCTAGGTCACAGCGGTGGTTACAGAGTTGTTTACTGTCCAAGATCCCAGGAAACGGCAAAGGGCTCTCAAGGATGCCCAAGTCCCTTAGATGCAGGAGCCCGGGGCAGTGAGGGCAGACTCAGGGGAGGGCAGAGGGTGTTATAGAGGAGGACTTAAAAGATTAGCTCTGTTTTATGAAATTTACAAGGCAGGGTTTTTTTGTTTTGTTTTGTTCTGTTTTTTGCTTGAGAAAAGAGATGAGGACAAAAGTTATCAGAAAAAAAAAAAGATGCAGTATAAGTATGGGGGCAAGCTAGAAAAATCGGTGATCCCTGGTAGGTTTTCAAATGTCTGCACAGAAATGAGAAAAATACTATTTTCATGACTTGCTTGTGTAATCAGCTAAATTTTTTCAACTTAAAGATTTACATGTTATTATTCTGAGGTTGTGGGTTTTTCTTATGTTTTGTGATATTACAATGTTGCCTATTTTGTGAAATAATGGTAATTATAAGCATTAAGTGGGTATCTTTTAATGCAGGGGTCCTCAAACCTTTTAAACAGGGGGCCAGTGCACTGTCTCTCAGACCATTGGAGGGCCATTGGAGACTGCAGCACACATTCCACACATGCGCACTGTGGGCCTGGGATGAGTCAGCTGCTAAGCAGGACAGGCAGCGGCGGCCAAAACACCCAGGGGCCGGATAAATGTCCTAGGCGGGCCACATGTGGCCCGTGGACCGTAGTTTGAAGACACCTCCTTTAATGCTCTTACTGAAAGAAAAAGTTGACTACCATATATGACATCTACATACTCAATGTATATGCACAGACATATATGTATGCTCACATATATGCATGTATGTATGTATGCACACATAAATGCCTACATACATATATGTGTGGCCATATATACATACAATCTACACATGTGTAATTTCTTCTTTTTTTTTAATTTAATGATCAGTCACATCCTAAATCTAGAAACCACTGAGCTATCTCACAAATTGCCTTCTCCTAGAGAAGAAATATGATACATGGTGATTTACTAGCTCACAAGAAATTGCAAGATCAACCAATGGGATGGACAGGCCTATGAGAGAGTCAACTAGAGAAAAATTCCTAATGTACTTCTTGTATCCTTTCATGTCCCAGATAGCTGACAGTATTGCTGGTTACATAGTATGCACTCAAGGGAATGAGTCTTCTGGGCGGATTCCTTACTTGTCTGAATATTTATTAAAAGTTCACTTTAATTGCAATGGGTCATGGGGAGAATAAATCCCAAATGAAATATATCATCCTAGGTATTCTGGATATAAGATATATTAATATTTTTATGAAGCATTACTATGCAAACACATGCAAATTGAACTCCTGAGAAACAAATACAGCCAGAGGACTGAGAATGTATACAAATCCAGGCCACTTGTTGAAATAAAGCTTAAGGCTTTGTTCTGTTCATTAGCATTAGCTATTCAAAGCTCTCCTTTGTTTCTGTTGTAGACGTTTTATTTGATCCTGATTTATCCATATAGTGGAAGTATTCACATACCCCAAAACAAGCTGGGCTCTGAGTGATTTCAATTGTTATGGGAGTCCCTAGAATGAACGTTAAATACATGCCATACTGTGCCTACTGTTTGATATTTAAGTCATCAAAAGTTATTTCTTTCTTTCTTCCATTTCTTCAAAGGTTGTCGGTTTACATAAGCAGGAAGCCCCAGAATTTGAACATTTCCACGAAAACAAAGGCCATATTTGGAAAATGTTGGGATTAATCGGGGGCATCCATGGGTTTTTCTTGATAGAAAAATGTTTTGTTCTTCTTGTATCACCAAAGGACAAGGTATATTTTAAGTATATTATATGTTTTACTAATCTTTTGCTTTAGGATTTTATAACCATCTTTTATTTCAAAAGTACTTGTTGAAGGCTAATAAGATCTTCACGTTGTCTGTCTAAGGGATGGAGATCTGGTTTCAAGAATACACAGATCATTCTAACTGGCAGGTTCACCATAAGTATAGTTATTAATTTTTTAAACATCTGTTGCTGGGCAGTTAATGTACTTGTTACAACCTTCTGATTAACCTTCATGGTTGGTTCAGAAACGGGAGACTATGTCATGTCTGAGGAATGAAGGGGCCCAATGTCCTAGCTACTAATCAGTCTTTTGCATGTGCTTCCTAACTAAAATCAAATAAACAAGCAAACAAAAACTTGGAAAAATCACAGAATCACCTGTCATTTTCCATCTTGAGGGTACTTAAAATGACAAAAACAAGACGTTCAAGAATGGGATTTGTGGCAAACTTCTTTTTTCTGCTTGAATAACTTATTTTAGTGCCTGTATTTGATAAATGTCTACATATATGATGAAATGGAAAAAGCAGTGTGGTTCATTTGTGAATTATTTTTCCTTTGCTTGTGTACATTACTATATAAGAAAAATAGATGGCCTGTTTGGGGTGGGTAAAAAGGAAAATGCTTGCAAAGAACTCCAGGAGCATAAAGCAATTTTTTTCTTACAAAGTCCTGGGGACTCTACAGTTCTCTATGGTTTTCTAGTTATTCCTGCCCCTTTACCTGTTCACGTACAACTGGCAACATAGACATGTAATATAATGCCTGCGCCCAGAGCAAACATTAGTTGCCTTTTAAAACATCAGTATTTGTTTGTCATTTCTACATTTGTTCAAAATTCTATTTTATGCATCAAAAAATAAGATGGCTTTATAGATGAATTGATAGACATGCAATAAAATAGGTTTAGCAAAATAATGGTAGGGTCCAGGAAATGGATATCTGAGTATTCACATTATAATTCTTTCAGCTTTTCTATATGTTTGAAACTTTTCAATAATAAGCAGATGTCAAGATTTCAAATAGATTGCAAATTAACTTTTATAAAAATTTTTCTGTTTTAATAAAGCAGGGTTTTCCTTTGGCCTGAACCTCAAAGTAGGATGTTATAGTAATTTGGAGATTAGGAATGCCAGCTTCTATCACAGCATATATAGTAACGGTTTAGGAATTTAGCCTCCACAAAAGGAATTCTAATCTCAAGAAGCATAAAACAAACAACAACAACAAAAAAACAGTAACAGATCCTCATTCATACACAAAGGATTAGCATTTCTGGATTGGGAAAACTAAATTATAAAGCCAACCTACCAATCTAGACATAATACAGTAGTTATGTATTTAATAAGGCTGGAAATGATGGAAAGAAATTCTGAACATCCAAAAATGTAAAGCTTACTTAGATTGTCCATGCGCTTGTCAGGGAACTCAAAATGAATTTTAAGAGCATAATTTCAAGATTGATGATATTGTATAAAATAAAAAGAATGCAAATGTTTTAGAAACTATAGGTGGTTTAACTGATGAATACATTTCTGGAGATAATATTTTAGTAGGGATGGGGTGCAGTTTCGATTATCATCATTTTGGTATCTCCATCAAAGAATTCAAATTTTAATTTTGTATAAATATAATTTTTTAGTAAATAGAAAACATGAAAACTACCACCGTTTGAATCTCTTTTAATCATAACTGGACGTTTTTGAAGTTGCATTCTTAAGACATTTTGAATATGTATGTTTCAGAGCAGGCCTGTGCTTCTCCAAGATGAGGCATTTTTGCAAATATTTATCAGGTTGAGATTTTCCCACTTCTCTTTTTGTGTTACCAGCCATTTTGGCCAATCATCAAAACGTTAACTAGAACCATGGGATTGAAAACGGCTGCACCTGTGTTCTTTGGGCTTTAGCACTAATTTTAAACCATCCTCATCCGGCAGGGCCTGTCACAGGTTAATGGACATGTGGGACATTCCCACCATCTTGCACTCAACTCTGAATTAAGTGACCAGGCAGGCAGAGGCAAATCTGCTTCAACTATCCAGTTGGTAGGTCAATGATCTGATGCATTCTACTGATTTGATTACCTTCTTTCCTTTTTATTCCCCAATGAACAGATCAAAATCAGTAGTATGTATACATAGAATTCAAACTCCTGATTTTTTCTATTCTTGACTATGATAGCTACTGTTTGGAAAACTTCGCCAAGCACCTGGAAGTTGTTTGATCAAGCAAAAACCACTCTCCACAGATTCAGATCATAAGTATCTGCAGCACTTTGAAATACACATAGATCAGAATGACATAATATACACATCCTTAATCATTTTAAGTTTTCATAAACCAGCTGACCATTAGGTTTTCCATTCTGTGTGATCCTCAGGCATGACTAGGTAGATGCAAATATGCATTGAGCAAGAATTTGGTTAGTGCAGCTAGAATGGGGTATTCATTTCATAATGCAGGAACGAGCAGGTTCTACCCAATGAGCTACTTCATAGTTGAGTGCCTTTGAGTATATTGAACTCTCCACGACAAAATCTTCTGCGTTAATTCTCAAAATGCAACTTCTAATCAGGTTTAAAACAATATCCCCATCCTAATTCTTAATAAGTATTGAGATGAGACAAATATGAAAGTTATATATAATTGTTAGAAAACTTGCTTTCTATAACCATGGCTTTGGAGTTAGGGGGTTTAGAGTTCAAGAGTAGGTTCCTAACTGAGTAAAAGAGATGAGTAGGCTATTCCTGAGACATTAGCATAGCAAGATAGAACTTTGGCTAGAGATTGCAGATCTATTGTTCACCCAGAGATTTGAACAAAAAATTTCCTTAGAATACTATTTTAGGAATCTTACTATATTTATTGCTTAGGTATTTTAAATGTGGTCTGAAAGATAGGTAACTTCAGGCTGAGATTAGTTTTAAAATCACTTTAATGCTGACTTTATTTCTTCTGTTTGAATGAAGGATCCAGAGCTCCAAATGGCATGTTAGTAAATCTCTGAAGCTAAGTTAGTTTGAACTATTTGTACACTCTGGCTCACTAATCTAATCACCGTTCCTTTTCTTGTTTAAGCTTCAAGGTCAATCTTAAAGCAAAATAGAAATCATATGAACTTTGAGAATTGTTCGAGGGGTTTTATTTCCTGTTTTTCAGAAAAGTGTAGGCTGAAGAACTTACAATTCTCCTCAACCAGGAGTCTTAGATATTTGGCTCGAAATTCCTTTACATCATAATGACAATATATAACTTTTTTTGAAAAACAAAGCAAAACATTCCAGAATAAATATTTGAATTCTTGGCTTTTAATAGATCTTTAGAGTATTTTGATGATAACTAGGCTTTTGATATAACATAAAGGGATGACATTGTTTTTTGTTTCTGTATCTACCTAATTTCAGTCCAGTGTACTTCCTCTGAACCCTATAGGTCCTACCTTGCTTCTTTGTGATCCTTCTTCAAAAACAGCCTATCATTATATCTTTTGAATAGATGCTGTTATTCTACTATGTGAACTTTAATAATATGTGAAGTCCATTTTCTCTCTTTTACGTAAAAATAGTGCTTATGCCTCACCTTAAATTTGTGTCTGAGTTTCCACATCTTTGGGTTGATAGAATTACATGCATCTGCTTTTAAAAGGACGTGTTGAATAGGTAGATAAGGTAAATAAAGTCTTTTTTTTTTTTTTTCATATAATAGAATCAGAATCTCAGGCATAGAGAGGAAAAGTATCTTTCCAGAAACTGAACTACCAGTCAGCCTCTGAGATAAAATCATGTCATCTTAACTCATAAGGCCAATTTCAAAGTCTCACTTCTCCATCACATGGAAGGACCAAAAGGAAATTTTAATAGTTGTCTTTTGTAAGACTGTGGCTCTACTTGTTTCATTGGCAAGATTCTTTGACTGGCAGAGCGGTTAGAACAGAATATTATGTGTCAATGAATAAAATGAGGTGTTGGGTTTGCAGGGATTTCTTCTCTGTCCAGAATATACTATCTGCTTACCGATGAGATGAAGTCTAGATCCACAATCTGCCATACAGGAAAAGTGCCAAATTAGGTCAAGAATCTTTTTTTTTTTTTCTACAGCTTTTGGATTTCATAAAGGCTTACATAATTTAACAGTCTAAATTACAGACAGTCTTGGTAGCCTCCAGCTCTTCATAGAAGATTCTGAGCTACCTAAGAGTGCTATTTTCATCTAAATGTGGACAGTACAAAATGCATTCTCCCTCTGCACACAGACATTCAGCTCTACGTTGTGTGTCTATGAAATTTAGAGGTTCTAATATACACCTAGAGTATTAAAATGTCATCTAAAAATCCATGTAATTCTTCAGATGTTTCATTTTTTAACAAGATGATGACCATTACTTACCTTTCATCAGTTATTTTTTAATTTAAAACAGAGAGGCCCAGAAGATTCACAGGCAGCTGAAATTCCCATAGACAGTGTGACAGCCTCCAGCAGAAAATGTGAGTACAAATTTTACAAAAGTTAAACTTTACCTGTAGAATGTGCCATAGAAAAAGTTTATGTCGTAAAATAAATATGTCAACACCATGTAGATTTCATATTGGGTATGTATTTCTTTAAAACCTTTGGCAGTAAGATTTTTAATAAAGACCCATTTCTATCCACCCCTCAAACATGCTACACATTCACACCAACTTTACCTCATTCTTTAAAAATTGATGTTTTCCCCAGTTGTTTGGAACCGGTCCCCTGAAAACTTCAATTGTGTAAATACATACGTGTTTATAGGGGCTCCTTTTTAATAATTCTTAACTGATGATGGAGTCTTTTACTTCTCTAGGAAGTGTGGACACATCATTGGTTTTTCATCTTCTGTCACAGTCTACTAAAAATTCATCCCTGTAAATGTCTCATTTATGATACTGTCATTGAGACAGTGGAGTTCAAATTAGTGATATCTTAAATTAGTGATAAGATGATTGAGATATCACCTTATTTTACAACTCATTTCATCTGATTTTCAATTACCAAAGGTTTTTTTTTCTCCCTATGATTTTTCCTATTTCTGAATTTAGTTTACCAATTTTGGATAGGATCTTACCATTCTCCTTTGCTTATATTCTGAATAATTCTTTGAAGTTTTTGTGTGTGTTTTTGTGTCTGTTCTGGTTTTCATCGGTTTCTCCTGAATCTTTGCCCCGTTTTTCTCATTTATATTACCCTTTTTGTGACACAAACTTCTCAAGGTTTTAGTGTTAAGCTTCATGATTATTTATTCCCATTCTACCCTAATAGGTTAATTACCGCCAAATAAAAATAGCTACCATGTATTGAATACTTCTTATTTGCCAGGCACAATGCTAAACACTTGACGTGAATGACCTCATTCAGTTCTCCTATAATTTAATGAAGTAAGAATAAATATTATCTGAATTATACAAATGAAAAAAAACAATAGTTAGAGGGGTCAAGTATGGGCAGCAGTAAATAGCTAGTAAGCTTTAGCATTGGGGAACTGAAGAAATGCTAATGAACCAACAATATCTTTATGCTCTTTCATTCATACATCAATGCATTCACTCACATTCTTTCCTTTCATCCAGGAGATGTTTGAAAATGTGCCCCATGGCAGGCACTATGTATACACTGAGGAATGAAATAAGCATAGTTTTGTCCCTAGTTTGCAAAGTCAAGAGAATAGAAATACTCTTAAGAACAAACACTATTGGAATGACTAATATTCTAAGTATTTTAGATATGCCAACTTGCATAATTTATTTGATTCAAAATATGTAATAATATATTCTATTTCTGCTTTAAGAACATTGTTAATATTTTTCCTCCTGAAGTTTTAGTTTCAGGAGTAATTTTAGAACGTCTGACACATAGTAGGTCTGCAACAGACTTTTTTTTTTTTTTTTCCCACTTTCCTTTTGGAAGAAAGGAAGGGGGAAACAAGGCTATGCCAAGTCTGATTAGGAGCAGAGGGCCAGGGAGCAGATGCTATGTCAGGGAGAACGATGGTCTCATTCAAACAGGCCTCCTGTCTTCCTACTTCCTGTCAGACTTAGCATACACAATGAATAGTGAAGAAATCCAAATCAGATTACTCAACTGCCCTTTTGCCAGGGACATATTGAATTAGCTTCAAATATTTGATTACTTATTTCATGTTACCTCATCAGTAGAACTGGTATTTCAAAAGACAGGACACAAAAATCCTATCCACAGTCTGATTTACATGAACAAAGAGCAAAATGATTCCACTCCCAGCCCGTATTTCACTATGGAAAACCTCTGATAGTTCAGAAGTGTGGGGCTCAATATGGCTTCCAGGTACATGAGTAAAGGCAAAATATTATAGATAATTCTGTTATGAGCGCATTAAATTACCAGTGAGTGCTTGTCTTCTGTTTCACTGAATGAGGCTAAAATTATTTTAAGATATGCACAATGTGTTCTTTGTAGCTTACATGCAAATGTGTATATTTGCCTCGTGGCTGGCTACATATCCATGATCTGACATTTAGAAACCCATAATTGGAGATAACAGAATAATAGGCAGGAAAAATAGGCCACACTGTTTCCTAGCAGAATATATATTGGCTAAAAATCTTCCATTGAAATATATGCTATTAATATCAACATTACATGTAGGCATGTGGAAATCACAATTTTATTTGCATGCTGCAATGTTATCAAATGTATCACTTTAAATTTTTTTTTTTTAATTTTTCTTTTCACAAAGAAAAGCTTTATTTCTGAAAATTGGCAGTAACAGCTAAGTGACCTGGTAGCATTAGAAGACTCTGAGAGTTTCCAGGCAATGCCAATAAAAATTCCCTGAATTCAATAATTCTGCATTGATTGTGTTTTTATGACTGTTGCTTGAAATCTGCCAATTTTTAATGAAAGATAAAATAGATTAGTAAACCACAAAAAGGATGTAAGTCAGTCTTACAGTGATATTTCTAAATAGCCATTATTTTTGAAGTAAAATGCACAGGACACCTTTGCAACTGAGTCAGTATAGCTATCTCTTGGATGATAATCTGGGCTATATCTGCTGTCTACTGAAGTTTCTTATTTTATGGTGTGGGATACCAAATGAATCACATATTTTCCAAATAAAAGAGCAAAAAAAATTATAACACCATCCTCCTTGCAGTCATAGACCGTGTGACAGTTAGAAACCTGGAGGTAACCTTTTTCTATTTTTATTCAGCATAATTATTAAAATAACGTATTTAGTTCTAACAGTAAGAACAGCTACTACTTACACCTGTCTGTCACACAGTATATATTCAACTGAGTAATTAAAGAGGTTTTAGACTATGACAATTGATTAATGACTATCCTGATCAGAAGCTGCACCTGGGCAGATTACTGCCAGAATAAGTGTTATCCACAACACACTTTTTGTGTTTGTGAGTCATTCAACCCTATAATTGGGTTATACTAACATATAATTTAGGTTTATCAAAACAGAAACTGGTCCATTAAAAATGTGAACCCACTTATGGCCAAAATTATTTCATTGACTCTTTCCTGATCAGATAATATGTATTATGTAATAGAGTGAAAGTGAAAGCATGGAAGGGAAAGCTTCTTATCATTTCGTTCAATATCTAACTGGTCTAGTACTCAAAGGTATGTTGCAGAAAGACAAGAACATTGAGTAATTATTCCAAAGCTAACTTTGGGGCCAGAAGAATTCCAGAAAGTCATTAGCACTAATCACAAAAGGCCAATGGCTGCAGGCAGATTAACCCAGGAACAATCTGACTCAGGGGAACAGTTTTGGAAAATAGACTCTGTTTTAATGACATCCCACAGGGAGGTTTATCTGGGCCCGTTGAGGCTGCTACAAATGACCATGGACTAGATGGCTATTTCTCGTGCTTCTGGAGCCTGGAAGTCCAAGATCAAGGTGCAAGGCAAGGACTGCTTTCTGATTCATAGATGGTGCCTTCCTGCTGTGACCTCACAGGGCTCAGGGGGAAAGAGAGCTCTCTGGCATCTCTTTTATAAAGGCACTAATCCCATCCCAAAGACCTCACCTCCTTGAACCGTCACGCTAGGGGAACAAGTTTCAACATACAACTTCTGGAAAGGACATAAACATTTGGTCTCTAGCAAAGTTCCTAAATGATTTTTAAAATGTATCACAAAAGACACAAATGGAAAAGTCACCAGTGGTATTTTGGGAGGTTATAACATTATTTTTTATTTTCTTCTTTTGGCATAGCTGGACAAGATGATAAATTATGTGTGGGCATTTACTACTTTATCTCGTTAGTTAGACCAGTTAGAAAAGCAGTACCCATACATTTAAGCATGTTGGTTACCATGTCTGCATCTCCGACCTTGAAATCTGAAACAAAGTGGGGTTATTTAATCAGATGCAATGTGAGAACATCAAGGGTGGATGGGAAAGTTGGTTAGATTGGAAGGATTCCGTAACATGTATAGTGGTGTGTTAATGCTTCTTGCACTTCCATTTGGTTCTTTAGGCAAAGCCATTAGCTTGTTGGCAATAATGATTCTGGTTGGGGACAGCCTGCATAATTTTGCAGATGGCCTAGTGATAGGAGCAGCCTTCTCATCCTCATCGGAGTCAGGTGTGACCACCACAGTTGCTATCTTGTGTCATGAAATTCCGCACGAAATGGGTGAGTTCAACAGTGGAATTGCTCTTCCCTGCTTGTTGAAAAAATCACAATGTATTTCTTGCCATGGTTTACTGTGATTATCTTTCCAACATACAATTGAAAGATGAATGCTTTCTGTTCATAATTTATTTAAACTAGAAGAGGAAGAACACTAGGAAAAAAAAATTCCTGTATCTTGATAAAATTGAATTAGTCTCTTTTATCATCTTTCCCAGGGCCAGAAATGACTCTTTTTGCATTCTGGAAAGAGTCATTCAGAGAAACCTCATTTGAAAGAACTTTGGCAAGGACTTGAAAATCTGCATATTAAATATAGGAAAATATTTAGAGGGGAACTTTACCCATTATGTCAGCAAACAGGCCAGTGAGATAAAATAACATTTAAATGAAAACCAAACCATGGTTTCATCAACCTGATTTAGACAGAATGTTGAAAGCCAAGCATGACATTGAAATGACAGGTGTGTGGAGGAAGACGAACACAGGACTATTTTTCCGGATAATCTTAATAGCCCTGTAATTTTAATCATGCCTCCCAGGAATCAAGATGGGATAATGTGGACATTTTCTGAAACAGACTCAGAATTACAGAGGCTGGTCTGGCACACAAGTGCCCCAGGGATGAGGACTCAGCAGTCTCTCAGCTTCTACTTGGGCACTCTTGCCTTCTTGTGCTTCATGTCCATTGCTAAAAGTCCTGCCACTCACTCATTTTGACCCATCTTCTTGGAGCAATTTATCCAAAATCCTTCCTGAATGCATTAAAATGCATGATCTGGAAGCTACCCCCAATCTATATGGTCCTGACATTAGCAACTATAACAGTGTTATAGACTCTGATCCTCAATCCCAAACCACAGGGTGACAGTCTGCAGCAGGCCAGCGAAGATGTTTCGAGATCTATTCATAGGACCAATTATGTAATGGAACTAGGAAACTGAGTCCCCAGCTGTCTTTTTATTGAATTTCAGTCTGGATCCCTGAAACTAAGAAATAGATGCTCTCAATTTACTAATAGGTCCATGTTCTTTTGGAGGGAAGGTGCAGAGAATAAGCTCATTTTTCTATAATCATCAAGTCAGTAAAATTTTCATTTTCTAAAGGAAAAATTTGTTTTCATAACCAGCTTTTGCAATTATTTAAAAATCTCTTAAGTAGTTTTCTTTTCCCCGTAGCAGTTCCTGCAGGAGTAAATAATCAAAGCTCCTGTACTGTTGTGATTTCACCTAGCAAGCTTCCAAGCCAAAAGATTTAGAAACTCTGGGACAGTTAGTGACTTTATTTTATATTTATCTAAGTTAAAAAAGTCACAAGATATCAGAAACTAAAGAGTATGTCACAGACGTCTTTATATATGCTATCTTTAGGAGCAATGAAAGGAATAGAACTCTTGAAATGCAACTTCCTAATAGTGTCATGAATTGGCTATGAATCTTAGAGAAAAATAGGAAAGCATTACATTAACTGATCATTCAACTTTATTTATAAAATTGGTTCCAGTTGCTGACATTTGAAACAGCCTTAATAGCACGTTACTTTTTCCAAAGCCATCATCAGTTAAATGATGATTTTATTTTCTCTTTCCCTTAAACTTCAGGAGACTTTGCTGTCCTCTTAAGCTCTGGACTTTCTATCAAGACTGCCATCCTGATGAATTTCATAAGTGCTTTGACTGCCTACATAGGACTATACGTTGGCCTTTCAGTGTCAGCTGATCCCTGTGTTCAAGACTGGATTTTCACAGTCACTGCTGGGATGTTCTTATATCTATCCTTAGTGGAAATGGTAAGCTTCATGGCTTTTCTCTTTTGTTTTTCTAAACACTGAAAATGTAAAGCAGAGATAAAGTAATAAAATGGAAAGATCATTAGGGAGAAGAGAAGAATATAGAGAATAATATAAAACTACTAAGGAAATACTTATATATAATCCAAAAAGGCAAGTTGTAGGTGGAAAGAACATAATTTGAGATAGAGAAAATATTGATATTCTTTTAGTGAATATAAGTGGAAAGAATGGAACCTTTATCAGAAAGTGCTCATCAGCTCATTCTGTTCTGCCTTTGAATCTGTTTATGATGCCTATACTTTCAGCTAAAAAAATGAAAATTTCTGTTAAAAAGCCTGCTATCTTATTTATACAATGCAAAATAGTTCCACTGAATTTGTCATGGAATTAAATAGCTGTTTGTCTTAATTAACAACTGAATTTTTTAAAATAATGATTTTATTCTTTAATTTCCATTTACCAAAGGACTATCATGGTGAAATGAGAAAGAAAGATTATTATGGTATTTGGTCTCTCAAATTAAGAAACATATGTTTCTTAAAGGGCTCCTTGCTCACACTAATGATAACTCAGTCATTACTTTTCATTCTCTATAATCTTATGGGAGAATTGAACCTGGGATATTTCATGTTCTTTTGCCTCTTAAATTCTGATCTCTGGAAAACAAAACAGTCTTGTTGAAGATCACTCTCCATTGGACTTGTTTACAACTTAAATACATTCAGGTGGAAGTCATAATGATTATCCTTTCTCATGGGTTGGGATAAGGCTAATAAAAATGAAAGGAATGAAAAAAAGAAATACTTAAGACTAAAAATCAACGTGAATAGAAGGCAAATATGTTATTACCTGTATCTTGGAGAAGAAGAAGTAATAAACAGTCTTGAAGGGAATATATGGAACAGATCCATTGGGATTGATAGTGACATGGCTGAATCCAGACATTGTCCTGGAAGTAAGCAAAAATAAATGTTTCATTAGGAAAGATATATGGGAGACAGAAACCTGTGCTGATACAACCAAAATAACAGTGCATTCTTTTTTTTGAAACAGAGTCTCACTCTGTTGCCTAGGCTAGAGTGCTGTGGTGTCAGCCTAACTAACTCACAGCAACCTCAAAACTCCTGGGCTCAAGCAATCCTTCTGCCTCAGCCTCCTGAGTAGCTGGGACTACAGACATGTGCCACCATGCCCAGCTAATTTTCTCTATATACTTTTAGTTTTCCAGTTAATTGCTTTCTATTTTTAGTAGTGACAGGGGTCTCGCTCTTGCTCAGGCTGGTTTCAAACTCCTGACCTTGAGCGATCCTCCTGCCTCGGCCTCCCAGAGTGCTAGGATTACAGGTGTGAGCAACTACACCAGACCAACAGTGCATTTTTGAAGTAGATTTTAATAAGGGAGCTCTTGAAGCACTACCATTTCAAAGTCTGGTTCAGTATAAGAGTTTCTAAGTTTCTGGTTGTTTTTCTTAATTCTTAAACAAGATTCAAGTAGAGGTGATAAACACCAGACATACTTCCATGTTTAGAAATGTTCTTATATGTTATTTGTAATGCTCAGAAAGTTTCCTGATTTTGATAATGAAGCTAAAAGTGGAACAAATTTTACCCCCTTTCTGAACCCATTGCCCACCATGAAATCAATGTTATAGAATCCTACCATCCTTCCAATTTGAGAAATCTAGATTTCTAGCCTTTTATGACGTCACAAACACACTGTCACTCACCATTTAATGAGGTACCCATTGCTGAAAACATCTACATATCAGTCCTACAAATCCACTCCTAAGCCTTCTGATTTTCAGCATTTGATTTCTAATTTCTTTTTTCTTTATGGGTCAGTTAGGGGCGGTTGCTGTATTCTTTTGAAGTTTATTCTGTTTTTAACACAGACTGAATCTCTCTTCAAGTATGATGGATGTCTATGTATGTAGTCCATTCTTTTTCTTTGTTACGGTGTCTACTCTCCCAGAATTAATCTGAGAAGATTATCAAAACCCATTTATCATGTAGAACCCTGAGCTAAATATGTCATTTCCCCCTCAATGTTCCATTTTGTAAGGTTAAGCAATTGCTTATAAGAAAGCAATGTGACTGCTATTCTATGAGATTCCAGCTAGCATGAATCTTGACCTTATTGAAAATTACTATTGGCCAAGAAAAAAAAAAATTAGCATTCTGGCAAAAAGACAGGAAAGAAAATACACTGAATTTCCTGGGGCTACTTCCTACAATCCAGGTCTCTACTCTCACGGCCTTCTGAGTAACTTCTAAATAAATACAGCTCTTTCACATAGCAGTGAGTTTGACTATTGCTGTACTCTTGGGGAAGTGCCAAAGAAAATAGGCTGTCATTTAAAGGGAAGAAAACAAGGTTTAGAGACTCTGTGAAACAGCAAAGAAAATAAATGCAGCAACTAAAGGGTAAAGGGGAATTCTTTCATATACTGGTTATTTGCTAAATCCTGGATATTTACCAGGCACCTTCTGAGCAGGATTAATGTGAAAAGACTAACTAGATGTTTGTTTTGCTTGTTTGTTTCCAAGAAGTTGGGCATCTTATTTCAAACTCCTAAAAGAAAAAAAAAAAAAAACCAGAGGCCAAAATGGGACCATTAGCAATGATGTCAACAGACAAGAAAGTCTTCCCTGGGGAAAACTGCCAGTCTTAATTCTCCAAAGAGGCATTGCCTTAGCCAAGCACACTGACTCCCAGTTGCCTTGAATCATTTCTAAAGAAAGTTAAGAATGAATGCAGCACTGGGCGGCCAGAGGAAATTAATGCTGTATTGCAAAGATCAGTGTCCTAAACTGAGTTTTCCCCAAAGCAAAGGCATGAAGACAAAAGCAAGTGTGAAAGCAATTTATTTGAGAGGTGATCCCAGGGAGCAGAAGTGAAGAGCAGACAAAGTGAAACAGAGAAGGAAGAAAAGTCAACACAACAATGTGTTTTTATTAAGTTGACCAACACAGTGGGGTCTCTATTACACAGGATCTACTGAGGAGGCTTAAGAAATGTGCCTTGGACAGTTTAGCTGGGAATGAAAGAGGCTTTATCAATGGGCTCCTGTTGTGCCTGTTCAATACTGGCCCCACAAGCATTAACCCCCACTCACCCCTGCTCATTTGCAGGTTATACATACTTGAGTGCCAAGGGCATTTCCCATGGGAGGCCCATGCCATCAGATCAGAGAAGCCTAGGGCAGGAGAAAGAGGAATGCTTGTGGGCTGGAAGCGAGATTATGCAAAACTAGTCAACTCTTCCCTGGAACGGATCTCTGCAGCAGTGGCTAGGGGCAGAGATGGGGCTGAGAGAATCTGAAGTGACACACACTTGATGGCCATTAACAGCTCAACCTCAGTATGTTCATGCCCTCTTTCCCTTTGAGGTCCCATCTGTCCCAAGGTCCCTTCATGGTGGTAGCCAACCAAAAATGCTGTAAAGATTTAATACAAAATAGTTGAACAAGCTCCAAACCCTGCTCGTCTTGAGGCCATAGTTGACATTCATCATCTTCATCTCTGTTCTCCTGTACCTAATCTTAATTCACCTTCACTCCAGGCGGCACTTTGGCTGATCTAGATTGTTCTCCTGATAGGGGCAACCCAGGTCTTCACAGAGGTTCTGAGTCAGTTGCTTTGTCTTTGTCAGACCATTTCCTCTAGTTGCCTATTGACCATTGTTACTAGACATGGAAGCATCAAGAGATGCTCCAAGGAATCCCTCAGTTTCTAGATATGTTCCTTCTTTCCTGATTGTGTAGCACTAACCCTAACTGCTCGTGGTAGTCAGTAACAACTAGCATAACTTTTTCTTCCGTCGTTTGGCCTCCTGGTATAAGGAAACCAAAATGACCAGGTGATAATGAGAGCTTCAAGTTCACTGGAAACGTTATGGTATTCCCCAGTGCATTCTCCCAAAGAACAAGGATCCGTGAGCTGACAGTGCCTGAGGTTATAGGAACAGGAGGCACAAGTTCCACAAATGGAAAAACCAGCAATGGCTATATATCAGTTCTTTATGATTTTTTAATTGTTTCTGTCCTAATCTCTTATTTCTTTCCCTCTTACTTTGTATTTAATTTTGTCTTTACTTCTTTTATGAGGTATAATCTTATATCATTGATATTAAATTTTGCTTTTCTAATATTAACACTTAAAGCTATAAGTTTCCATTGACACACTGCTTTTGCTGAATCCAGTATATTCTAATATGTTGTGTTTTCAGCACTGATCATTTTGAAATGCTTTTGAATTTCCCATATAATTTTTTTTCTTTTTTGATCCATGGGTTGTATGCAAGTATGTTGCCTAATCACTATTTGGAAGCTTTCTAAGTATCTTTTAGTTGTTGACTTTAATTCCTCCTTAGTCAGAGAATATATTCTATATTATTTCAATCCTTTAAAATGTTTTGAAACTTGTTTTATAAGCTAGCATAAACAAATACAGATACAGTCTATCTTGGTAAATGGCTCCATGTAATTTGAAAAGTACATGAATAAATACAAGTTATTGGATATGGGGTTCTGTGATTGTCAAGTTAAACTGGTTGATAGTATTCATGTTTTCAAATTCCATACTAATTACTGTCTCTGCTTGTTAAAATATTAACCTATATTTATGGGTTTGCCTATTTAGTACTGCCTACTTTGCTTCATGTGTTTGAAGTTTTTATTTGATGCATGCATATTTGTCTTAGTTCAAGCTGCTATAACAAAAATACCATTGACTAGGTGACTTAAACAACAGAAATTTGCTTCTCATGGTCTGGAGACTGGGCAGTCCAAGATCAAAGTGCTGGGTAATTTGGTTCCGGGTGAGGACTCTCTTCCTGGTTTGCAGACAGATGCCTTCTTGCTGTCTTTACATGGCAAATAGTAGAGTTTGAGAATAGGTAGATGAGAACCCTTTCTTATAAGGACACTATTAACATCATGGGGGCCCCATCCACATGACCTCATGTAAATTTAAGTACCTCCCAAAGGCTCCATTTC